GGGGCGCGGGCCGGTCGGGCCCCGGGGCGGTCGGGCGGGGGTCGGGCGCAGGCCGGGCACGGTGACCTGAGCCCCTCGTTTTAGCGCTCGCCTGGTTCTCCAGGCCCGCGGCGGCCGAGGAGGAGGTGCAGCCCGCAGCGGCCGGGGACGCGGCTGAGGAGGCTGAGGCCGAAATCATCCAGCTGCTGAAGCGAGCCAAGGTGAGGCGCGCTGAGACCCGGCGACCTTGTGGCCGCGATACGCTCTCCGTTTTGCCGAGGGTCGTTGGAGGCTCGGCGAGTCAAACAGCCCCAGAATTAGCTGGGTCATCAGGGTGCTGGAATTCATTCAGCCAAGTCACCTGCGAGCCTGCGTTACGCTGCGGTCTCAGGTGCAGGTGGGCCGGGCGCCACGGGCGGAGCTCCTCTGCTCAAACAGAATAGCGGGAATGTTTGGGAGCGATGGTTTTTAAATTGGGTAACTGGCCACGCGGACACAGCTGGCCTAAGGGATTCTGTACAGTGTAGTCCAGAAAACACAGCGTAGTGGCTTGCCTTCTGTCCGTTTCGGTTTTCTTCTTTACAAACTTTGTCTCTTTGTCCACAACCTTTTCTCTCCTTGAGGTTATCTTCCCGTCCGTTTGGCTAAACACTAGTCTCCATGCCAAAAGCGGTCCAATTTTCAGCTCCACACCTTCTGAATGTGGCGGCTAGAGAATCCAGAGGCTAAAGATGAGGTTTTGTCCTCTCATAGAGTTACAATCTCAGAAAGCCGTTCTTCTCAGCCCCTAAGGGTAGCTGTTAATCAGAATCGCCCCAACCGTGATTTTGATGTGCTACTTCCATGACATCTCCAACTAAACTCTCAAGCATGCCTTCCCAACCCTTTCCTTTGCCATCCTCTGTTTATGACTGTGTTTTAGCATCAAAACCTCATAAACCAGGTGATCTTTTACCCAAACAACCAAACTCATTGCCAGTGAGTCATTTCTGACTCATAGTGACCCTTTATGACAGGGCAGACCTGCTCCTGTGGATTTTCTAGACTTAACTATTTACAGGAGAATATTTAAAACTTTTTTGTTTTCTACCACTATTGGTACCTGACCCACCCTCTTACCCTCTATAATCTCTTCCTACAGCAGCCAGAGTAATTTTAAAAAATGTAAATTAGATAGTACATCCCCTTTTGTATAAAATTTTTAAATATTTCCATTGCATTTATGATAAAATCCAAATTCCTTGATACGATCTGCTATGCCTACTCCCCCCTAACCCCCGCTTTTTTTTGAGGGGGTGGGGGTCGAGCCAGTCTCTTCAGTCTGTATGGTCTTCACTCATTCCCTATACTTTGATTGGGACAGTTGACATTCTCCCCATCCCCCGCCCCCATCTTCTTTATTTAATGGACTATTTCTTTTCTTCCCTAACTCAGTTTATCTCCACTTCATGGGAGTCTTTCCTGACTTTCCCACTTAGAGGAGACACCCCTTATTATACTTTTTCTTTGTTTTCCTTCACAGTTCTTATTGATTATAATTATATTTGTCCTACATGCTCACCTCTAGCCTGTAGGAAGGGAGAAGGAGGAGGTGGAAGACAAGCAATTTCCATATAAAGTATGATTTGAAAGTGGCTCACATTCCTTCTGTCTACAACTGCTGATCAAAACTTTGTCATACGACCACATTGACCTTTAAGGAATGGTGCTCTCCCTGTCACCCCTGTAGTTATAAGATGTCATCTGTAGGATATCAATAAATATTTGGTAAATGAATGGTTACCTTCTATGTTTTGGAAGGAATGATACAGCTATAATCAACTTTTTAGTAGCATATACATCCACTTTATATTTCATTTTCTGTTTTTTTTTCCTTTGTCCTTTCTTTTCAGTTGAGTATCATGAAAGATGAGCCAGAAGAAGCTGAGCTAATTTTGCATGACGCTCTCCGTCTTGCCTATCAGAGCGGAAACAAGAAGGCCATCACCTACACCTATGATTTGGTGACTATTCTAAGTAGTCTGAGCCATTGATGATGAAGGGTGGGTGCAAGAGAAGGTGTGCCAATGCCCCTGACATATATTCCTGACCTTCAGAATGTCTTACAGATAACTTTTGAACTAAATTTTCTTTTGGTTTTGACTTTTGTTACCTTGAAGTTTCACTTTCAAGTTTTAGTTCCAGACTAAAATGAAACGAGAGGTATTTAAGAAATTTAATGGGAAATGCATATTATGGGGGGGGGGAGGAAGGGGGGTCAGCGCAACATTAATTCTTTTATAATTGATGCAAGAATGAATTTAAGGTGACATTTGAGTGGAAGAATGATGAAACCATGCCCAAAATGGGCAATTTATAAATGGATAACTAATTTTAAGAAAGAACAAGACAGTGCTGAAATGCAGTAGATGATCAACTGACCACATCCATTTCTGAGAAAACAATCTAGGACCTCAGATTAACAGAAGAAATAATAGCTAGTACCATTGACATCTCAATTGGATTAGCTTACACGATTCTGACTGAAAAAGTTGAGCCAGCTTTCTGTTTCATGGGAGCCAAAAAAGGTTGTTTGGACTCAGATTAGCTGCAGAAAAGAGTAGAGTTTCAACAGAAATATTGAATAACAGATAAAAATCCTGAAGCATTCTTGGAAGAATTGTATAACAAGAGAGGAAACATGGCTTTAATCAGTGTGATCTTGAAGATAAAGTACAATCTAAAGCAACAGTACTAAGAAGTAGTCTAGTCCCAGTCTTAAAAACAGATTTGGTTTTGCTTTGTTTTTTTGATGCTCAAAGCGTTTTCCCTGTTGACTTTCTGGAGGGCCACAGAATGATAATACCTATTTATTATGGATTTTGAGAAATTTATCCAAAGCTTTAGCAGAAAAATACCCTGGAAAACTTCACCATAGAGTTCCTCTTCCCCACAACAATGCTCCTGTTCACTCCTCTCATCAAAGGCAATTTTGTGAGAGTTTTGATGGGAAACCATTAGGCATTTGCCTTACAGTCCTGATTTGACTACTGACTTCTTTTTGCTATATGATCATTTAAAAAAAGTCTTTAAAAAGCACTCATAAGTACTTTAGCTAATCATGCACAAAAGGGTACATTAGGGAAGAACTAGATTGTTGGTTTTGTGTAGGAAAGTGCCTTGACTTGTTGGTGCTTACATTGAGAAATTAATCTTATATAAAAATTATATTTAAAATTTTTATCCTTGCCATATTTCTACAAACTTTTAAAGTTCCTTTGTATTAGCATTACTTCATCTTCAGTGATGTATGGACCTAGATTTGGTTTATCAACAAATATATCTTCAAGTATCCACTTCTCACACTGTTGCTATTCTAGATTAATTTGTGACCTGCTTTTCTCTCAACTCTTTGCTTTTGGAGGGTGAAAGCAGAAGGGAGTCTTTAGTCAAAGACGTTTAAATACATAGAGACCCAGTGCTCTAAATTGAAAGATAATTTGTAACTTGTTTTTCAGATGGCCAACTTAGCATTTATACGTGGTGAACTTGAAAATGTAAGTAACTTTGTTGAATCTTGTATTTGTGAAGAACTAATCTCAAGGGAACCATATTAGTAAAAGGACAGACTAAATCTCTTTAACAGAGCTCAAGGAAACCAAACTCATTGCCATTGAGTTGATTTCAACTCATTATCGACCCTAGAAGGCAGAAAAGAGCTCTCTAGGCGTAGGGTCTCTGAGGCTAGAAATCTTTATAGGAGCAGAAAGCCGCCTCTTCCAAAATGATTCAAGATAGCAGTCTATTTCTCTTTGATTCAGCGGTCTACAGGCAGACTGAAGACTAAAGTCAGGCCATTTCTGCTTCATTAAGTGATCCAGAAGCCCAGATTGCTTCTCTAAGGTTATGTCCTCATCTGCATGGGGAAGCTGGTCCCTGCAGGGCAGGAGGATAAGAAGAGAGGACATGCTGCTTTCTTATAGAATATTACTTTAAATTTGCATGCATTTCTTCTGTGTGTATCTGTTGACCAAAACTTTGTCGTATAGTTACACTTAACTGCAAAGGAGGTTGACAAGCTAAAAATTGAGGGGATACTAGAAGCGCAAAAATGTAAGGAAGAGTGAGTATGAGGGGACAGTTTCTTTCAGTGTGGGTTTTGGAGAGAAATCAACCTCTGAGGATGGTTTCAATCTACTACAGAGTGGATTAACGTACACAGAGAATGGGGGAAGGGGGTAGTCCTGATGTATTAATCTTCATCTCACAAGGGTTCCTTTCTGCGTAGGTGAGTGAGTGTTTGTGTATTTAGAATCCAAGTTAAAGGAAAAATTTTTTCTTTTGCTTTTAGGCAGAAAAACTTTTTAAAGCAACAATGAGTTATCTGCTTGGAGGGGGCATGAAGCAGGTAAGGGTATTATGTAGCTCAAGTAATTTTTAAAATATATGTCCGTGAACCTCCTGAAACAAAATAAACAAAAATAAATTGTGTCTTGTCTTCCTTCCCCACAAGAAGGTTGATTCTCCCCACCAGGACCTTTATAAAAATTGCCAATCTTTCACAATTGCAAAAACAAAACAAAACAAAAAAACGGTGAGTTGAGGGATTACAGTTGATAAATTCCTGTTTAAAAAACAAAACTAGGGCTTTGTGGTCAAATTTGGTTTAAAAGTTGACTCAGATTTGGATTGGACATGTTGCTTGTCATGAATTAACCTCATTTCTCTTTCCTTCAACAGGAAGACAATGCAATCGTTGAGATCTCCTTAAAGCTGGCCAGTATCTATGCTGCTCAAAATAGGTACGTGTAGTCAAAATCGAGGTGTGGCAGCAACCAGGGAGTAGTGAGGTGGACAGAAAAACTTAGACCCTGAATGCTAAATTATCTTCAGGTATTTAACAAGACAGAAAATTTGATGTCACACTTAGTGTTCTATTTATTCCTCAGCTTTGAAATCTTGAGCTTTTTCTAGTTTTGCCCCTGCTATTTCTGGTAGAAGGAGCTCTGGTGGTGCAGTGGGTTGCTAACCAAAGGACAGTGATTTGAGTCAACCAACTACTCCACAAGAGAAAGATTAAGATTAGGCAGTCTCCTGTAACAGTTTATAACCTTCGGAACCCAATGAGGGCAGCTCTACAGGGTTACTATGTGTTTGAATCAACTCTGAGACAATGGATTCTGTTTGTTTGGTTTCTTTTCCATTGGCCTGCTAAGTGAGGCACACAGCCCTCGTGCTTCTCGCTGCATTGTGGCAAGTTTCATGCGTGAATTGGGCAGTTACAGAGAACTTTAGCACTTTCTAGTAGAAGAGGGAGGAGTCCATTGTCTTTTCTGATTGTTGAGTTTCTTTTTTGTTCCAGATAGCAAATAATCACTATTTATATCTTAAATGCCCGCTTGTAAGCTTTTAAGACCTTAGACAGTACACTGTATTGAGATGTAGCACATTCTCTCTAAGAATTTTGAGAATATTATACCAATTGACTGGATTATGTCATGAGACCACAGCCCTTAAACCCCCAAATCAAAGAACTTACACAGTGATTGGTTATGTGTAACTAGTATCAGCATCAGCAGTTATCACCACCACTCTGCCCCCCTCCCCCTTTTTTTCTTTTGATTGTTGTATGAGCAATGCTTTTAAAACGTAATGATAATGTTAGGTGGCTAAGCCTTAGTGATCTGGGAGTAGAGGGGAGATCTTTGGTTAAGTAGGACAGGAGATAGTGCTAGTTTAAAAAGATTCAAATATTTGATTAATCTAGATTCTTATAAGAAGAAAAACATCTCCCAGCCAAGCATGAAGACTTTAGAAAACAATTCCATGTGTCCCCAAACCAGGAACACTGATGCCTTTCATTCTCTTTGAGTTCAAAGAAAAAGCTTCTAGGCTAGAAGCAGTTCTTAACCTGTGTGTCACAACCCCTTTGGGGGTCAAACGACCCTTTCACAAGGGTCACCCGATTCATAACAGTAGCAAAATTACAGTTCTGAAGTAGCAACAAAAGTAATTTATGATTGGGGGTTCATCACAACATGAGGAACTGTATGAAAGGGTCACGGCATTAGGAAGGTTGAGAACCACTGTGAGTATACGCAGAGAGCTCTAAGAGAATTGTATTTTGGAGTGAGTTTCTGGGGAGACCCAAGACTAGCTTTTCCTTAGACTTTGAATTGATGTAGAGGTTCTTTCCAGCAATTAGGAAACCATGAGCACAGTGCCTCACTAAGGTCCCTGATCCCGGTCCCTACTATCCTATTCACCAGTTCTCTATCTCACCCATAACTGCTCAGTTCTCATTTTGATGGGGCACTAGATACACTAGAACTTCTGAGGGCCTTTGAGTCTACCTTTTGAAGAGCTTTGACCTTGGTTCGTACCAAGGAATACTGTGGCAAGAACCAAGCCTTCCATGGAAGAATAAAAGCAAGACTAAATGCTGAAGAGTACGGATTCCTACGAGAAGACACGCAAAGCTAGCATACAGAATGCTTTGGGAGAAAAAGATTGTTGCAGGTGCAGTTAGGTTAAAATTTTGAACCTTATCCTTTGATCTCCCTTATGATCCATTTGAATCTGTGCTAATTTTTAATATTTTCTTTTAATTGAGGATTTTATGTTTTACTTTGTTATTCTGGGTAGTTTTGTTAGTTAATGTTTTTCTATATGTGAAATCCAAGATAGGTAAATCTGTAGCAACAGTAACTGGATTTATGGTTCCTTGGAGGTCTGGCAGGGGAGGAGGGCGGAGAAATGGGGAGCTACTAAGGATGAGGACAAGAATGAAGGAAATGTTCTAAAATTGATTGTGGTGATTATTGTACAACTCTTCTTGATGTGATTTGTACTATTGTATATAAAAAAACCCACAAAGCTAGGAACACTGGAGAATAAGACATTCACATTAAAAAAAAATTGTTTTTGACATTCACGCTTTTGTAGAGGTGAAAGCTTGTTCAATAAACCCAGAGCAAGCTCCCTGCCTGCCGTTGAGTCGGTTCTAACTAATACTGTAGTGGTCCTGTAGGACAGAGCAGCACTACCCCTGTAGGTTTCCAGGATTAAGTCCTTAATGGAGTAGAAAACCTTACCTTTCTCCAATGGAGTGGCTGGTGGTTTCCAACCTTGCTTTTAGCAGCCCAGCACACAACTCACTCACTACATTCACCTGGGCTCTTTTATTCTTAATTAGCTTGGAAGTTATTCTGTGTTCTCCCCAAGTGTTTATTTTGTTGAGAGGCCTAAGACGAGAAAAGATATAAACAGATGTGAGGCTTAGAAAGGGAGGGGAATTGTTTATAGACACCTTGCACTGATGAGGTATGTCTCATGAGCAGCCCAGTGCGTCATATCCTGCCTAGATAGGGTTCTTCCTGCCAAACTTTGATTTGTGGAAGGAAGGGGAAGCCTCTGTTCTCCAAGAGCAGAGTAGAACAAAGAGCTCATCACTTCGCCCTTGGCAAAGCAGTAGATGAGAAGTTAGCTTTGTAGTGCCACTTGTAGCAAAAAATTGGAACAGGAGCAAGGCTGGCCCTCTGGGTAGAGAAGGGAACCGCTATGTTCCTGTGTATCTCTGTGGAGAAACCTGCAGCTGGCACTTGCTCTGTCCAAAGCTTTGGTGTCCTCTCCAGTTGGCTGAGGGTCTAAGGCTACAAAATTGAGCTAAATGCCTACTAGAAATGCCTATTTACTGAAATAGGAGAATGCCTATTTATTGAAATAGGAGCTCTATTTCAATAAAATAAACTTTAATTGAAGACTTTCTTACAATGTGGAAGAAGTAAAGAAGTGTCAAATCCAAATTCACTAATAGGAATCTTTAGTGTAGGGTGACCAGCCTCCATTTATTTATATTCTTAGCATCACTTTTGAACAAGTGTGTAACTTTTATAAGCAGAAAAGTTGACTCTAGAGAGTCTGTTTGTGGGAGATGATAAAGGCTGCTGGTACTGTCAGTAATGCTACCTTTTTATATCTTAAGTGACATTGAATAAAAGTGACATTGAAACAAAAAACAATTACTGAGAAATAGCACTTTGACACAAAATAGTGACCTCAAAAAATTCCCCCTTCCCATCTTACACTTTTTTTAAACTGATAATATGATAAGTTGAAATTCAGGTTGGAAGGAGTTGGTGAATAAATTGCTGATTTTTGCTTTGCAGACAGGAATTTGCTCTTGCTGGCTATGAATTCTGCATTTCAACTCTAGAGGGGAAAATGGAAAGAGAAGATGAGCTAGCTGAAGACATTCTGTCAGGTAGGAAAGCCTGCCTTTTGGATTTAACCTGTGCTCAGTGCTGCATTATGAGGAAAGGGAAAGGTGTTTGAATTGCGGGAGCAATGGTTGCCAATTTTGGAAAACAATGGCTATTTTTAAAGTCTCAGAGTTTGGAATGAGATTTTTGAGAAATAACCACCAATTTTTAAAGAACTTATTGCCGACATGTTTATATTGTATCTGTTACATGTTAATGGACTACTTATTCTGGACAGCAGAAAGGGAAGGACTGTCTCTTAATCTCTAAGTCCAGCTGCCAGTGAAAACGCTAATTGCTTTTTGGTCCCAGACTCATGTTTTTACTGAAAAAATGTTTTCATTTTAACTTTTTGTGAATTTTGGGAAGGTTTACAGAGAGCAATTTTTCCATTCAACAATTCTTACACATTTTGATTCATGTCAATTGATTACAAATTCCATAAGATATCATCACTTGCCTGATTCTTTCCTGTATTTTCTGATTCTTTTCCTCCTAGTTCCTTACCCATCTGAACTTTGTCCCCAGATAAGTGCTGCCATTTGTTCTCAGGTGGTTGATATTCTGAGTATAGACCTGTGTATTGTTGGCCGAAAATTGAGCTGTGGGGACAAGTACGTTTCTAGACCTAAAGAGTGATTAAGGGCAAGAGCCTTGGTTTCACTAGTCCTTCTGGTCATTAAACCTGGTCTTTTTTTATGACTTTGAGTTTCGTTCTACATCTTTCTCCCACTCTATCCAGGACCTTCGATCCAAGACCTTTTCAGAGCAGTTGGTAATGGTAGCTAGTTCTGATCTCAGGGTTGTGGGGACTGATGTTTGTGTGGTTCATTAGTCCATTGGACTAGTTAAGTCCATGAATCTTTATCACTCTTTCCTCCAGACAGGAGAGACCAATAGTTGCACCTTAAGAGACAGCTCACAAGTGTTTAAGCAAGTACAATGTCTACAGCATTGTCTTTTTATTTTTTGGGGGGGTGAGTGAGTGAGTGAATGGGTGCGTGGGTGAGTCGGTGCGTGGGTGAGTCGGTGCGTGGGTGAGTCGGTGCGTGGGTCTCCAGCATTGTCTTTATGGATTATGTTGTATCAGTTGACCTAAGCATCCCGAGACCTTGGGTTCAGCGACTCATTCCCTTAAGGTGTTTGATTATCTCTAACAAGTTTTCATTACTTTGACCCCTGTATGTTCCACTGTAATTTGTAGTAAAGGCAGATACTCATGTGCAAATACCCTTCGTGGAACCTGTATTCCCACTCTTCCTTTATGCTTGTTCACCATGTGTATCTATCCATGCACCTCTAATATTGCAGGCTTTTGTATAAAATATTTACTTCTGTTGCCTTTAGCTCCTTCCAGTGCCTTACCTTACCTCCATCATTTGTTACCAACCTTCCTTTTATTGTATATTGCCTTCTCCTTCAGTTAAGTTAGCATGTGTCTACCCTTTTCCCAGCTCCAGTCTAGCCAGTAACTTACCCTCTCTTCTCTTCCACACTTGGTAGCCATCAATGAGTGTTTCCTTTAGTGTGCAAACCTTTTCTTGACTTTTTCACAATAGTAGTCTCACACAGTATTTGCCCCTTTGTGATGGACTTATTTCACTCATGATATCCTTCGGGTTCATACGTGTTATGAGATGTTTCATGGATTCATCATTATTCTTTAACATTATGTAGTATTCTAATGTACGTATGTATCACAATTTATCCATTCTTCCATTGATGGGTAAACGGATTCATGTTTTTGCAGTTCATCCTCATTATGGAGAAAATAGCCTAAAGAATTATACTAGGAATAGAATATGATGTATAACTAAATCTCTAAATTTTAGTTTGCTCTAAAATATAGGGAATGTTCAGACTTGCTATTCTTTGAGGCAACTGTTTCACACCAACTCCATGCCAGGTACCAGTGAGATCTAGGGATGAAGCAGTCGATTTTGTTGCCTCTAAAGTACTCCCTTTAGCAACTTTGAAAAAGTTGTTCATAGCTTAATTTTGTTCCTTTTCATTCTTGAGCATGTGCCAGTTTTCTTTCGAGTTTTCAGAGTTTTATGGACTTTGGAATCATAGATAAGTAAGTGTAGATTTGTATAAATATGTATAATACATGATCCTTTACACAAACTATCCTTTTTTATAAATGCAAATGGATAAGCTTTTAAATACATTATAAATTAACAGGGATCTTTCATATTAAATGTGCATTTTACATATGTACACAATACACTACTAACCAAGGTTTATGAGACAATAGAATAGGAAAAGGACACTGCCAAATGTATAGTAACGTTGAAATGGGAGTGAGCCAATTCCTTATGATACCAGTAAGAGCATTTGTTGAATGTAATGCAAGGAGGTGGGGTTCACGCTCTAAGAAGTCCAATTTTACTTAGGAATAGTCTTGCATGGGTTACGTATGAGATTGCTAACGGAACCCACCATCAGCAGTTGAAAACTACCAGCAGCTCCACAGGAGAAAGAAGAGGCTTTCTGCTCCAGTAAAGATTCATATTCTCAGAAACCCATGAGACGGTTCTACTGTGTTGCATCGCTCCGGAATTGACTCAGTGACAGTGTACGTTGAGTCTCTTGCCCTGAAACACAGGCAAACAATATTTACTTAAAATGCTTGTTGAGGATTTCTTCTCTATACATCTCCAAAAATTAAAACTTTAAAAACCATTTTAAAATAAGTAATGTTTATACCAAGTTTGAAGACAATTGATTACCGTGATGCTCCCCTAAGTAGCTGTAGTGATTTCAACAAGTATAATGACTTTCTATGAAACAACCTTATCTGTTCAAAGATTAAAATTACTCAAAATCAAAACATTGTAAAATCGTAAGTAATTTCTGATTACAGTGATTTCTTCCATTAACTGGTGTCTGAAGTATAGTTGCACTAATTGCAACACATGCAGAGACCACTTAGGATTAGGGCAGTGAACAAGTGGCAAGCTAAGACTCATCATACTACCGCCCTGACCCTCATTGACTACACGCAAAATAGTGCTTAAAGGGCTGAGACAGTTCAAATTTTCTTTTTTCATTTATACTAGTTTTTGGGTTTTTGGCATATATTTCACATAGCATACAATTCAGTAGGATCAATCATATTAAAAAGAGTTGTACAGTCATCTCCATAATAAATTTTAGAACACTTCTTTCTTGTGCCCATTGTTATCAGCTCCCCACTTCACCCAACCTCCCCTACTCTACCTACCAAGAAACCATGAATACAACCACTGTCTCTGTCGCTCTACCCATCCTGGATTTCATACACAGAAAAACAGAAAGCAAAACATAAACACTGCTGTAAACAAGGCTATTCACATCCCTGGTCTCTGGTCACAGGGCATTTACCAGAGGCTTTACTAGTGTGGGCCCTGTAAATGAGTTTTGGGTTCCACTGTCATCCATAGCTTTCTGCAAGCCAGGTGTTCACAAATTAAGCTCATACCATTCCCTCCTTCAGTTTGTATTTTATCATTCACAATCCTTGGATCACAGAGGCTGGTTTGTTGCTTCTGTGTGGACCCAGCTGGGACCTCACTCAAGATGGGTGCTTGTTCAAAGACAAGACTTTATGACCACAGATACTGTTTTTTCTAATAGCCAGGCAACATCTAGTTTCTTCACCACACTTACCTATAGCACCCATTTCTTCAGTGATCTTTTCATTAGGGCCCATTTGTGCTAAAATCTTGAGTTACGATACGTGCCAGAGAATGCTCATGTTCTACTGATGTCAGTGGGTAGCCATGTTGATGCTTGAGGGGTTATTATACCTTCTAGACTAGATTCTACAGGGGACCAGACAGAACTCTTGTGTGTAGGCAATTTTAAGAGATGCCATATTTCTTTCTGCCTCTTTTCCTGCATAAATAT